CATCGCCGCGAGTCTTACTATCAAGCCGATATGAGTGTGCCTTCGAACTTTCGTGCTGATTTAACGGATTACAGGGATTCACGATTTGATCGGGGCCATCTGGCAGCCGCTGGCAATCATAAATGCCATCAGACACACTGTAATGAGACATTTTATCTGACCAATATTGCACCACAAGTCGGAAAGGGCTTCAACCGTGATGCATGGAATAATTTAGAGATTTATGTACGTGAATTAACTGAGCGTTATGGCTCCGTTTATGTTTGCACCGGTCCTATTTATAAGCCGAAACGTCAGCTGCGCGGTGTCAATGATGCGGAGAATTGCAGAAAGGTAGATGGCAAATGGTGTGTGGAATATGAAGTGATTGGTGAGAATACTGTGGCGGTGCCAACGCACTTTTTCAAGGTTATCACTGTCGAATCAAAGCTACCAGGCGGTCCGCCCTATATGGAGGCGTACATAATGCCAAATGCACCTATTAGTAGCAGTACGAATATACGCAACTTCCTGGCCGATATTAGAGAAATTGAGCACATTGCAGGACTGCAATTTTTCAATGGCCTTCGTCGAAGCTTCTTTTTTGGGACCAATTACAGTACGGCATGTGATATATACAGAAATTTTGTTTGAATAATTGTATGGGGAAGGTGGATTTGAGGGGAGATAATAGATGGTTACGATTTTATGGTGTGCTAATTAAGGCTTTTATGTAAAAGTGAAACCACTTTTTGGTTGCGGCATTGTAGATAATAATAACAGAACACTTATTTACGAAATTCCTCATCATTGTTATTAGAGTCACTTGGAGCTTTCCGATAGCCCACGTCCGCTAATTGCAGTTCTAGAGCTGCGAAACTGACACTCTCGCGATATACATATGTATCACTGTTTTAAAAAATAATATAACACTTCACAGATTTCGTTTATGTACAATTTATTATTAATCTTAACTGATATGAAAGCACACATCATACAGCATCAAATAAATTCACGCGCGCACACTGTCAAACACCTGGGGAGAGGAAACGGAAACCTTAGCATAAAGGAAGATGTGATAACAGCAAAGCGGCGGATGTAAAATTTACTTGCACTAGATGCACAAATCACTTCTTATTTCACGATACAAACAGACATAGCTTTTTCGGGTGCCATAATTTGCCAATGGAAGAAGCAAATTGTTATTTTTTTCTTCATTTTCGTCAATTTTGATCTGATCATTTGAGCCGTTGATTAAAATAAAAAACACTGTAATTCTTATTTGACATTTTCCCAACAGCCGTTTGCATTTACACCCGCTTTGTTTTCCTTCACTGAACACACCACACACCAATGAATCGGAATTTCCTGGCACTTGCCGAGCTGCCACTTGACAGTAGTTTTTGTAAACAATTTACCCTGCAGCGCATCACTCCCACTAGGTAAAAGCCTTTTACTCAAAACCTAACATTTTATGCTTTTTATTTTTTACTTTTGAAGAATACATTCTCTGTACAAAACAATTCCCATTTGCTCATCGATCATCATATCATTTGTTGTTTTGTACAGTTTTGTAAATAGTCAGAAACAAATTGTAAGATTCACTGTCATTTTCCCCAACGAGAAACGTTTGCTTTTCGTTTGTGACAATTGTACCATAGGGTACGTTTTATATGTATGCAAACGTTTCAATTACGTGAAAAATAATTTTTTCTGTAAATTTTCATATCCAATTCAATTAAAAAACATTTTTATTTTTTTTATTCATTGCAGCCATTCGTTTTGTATTTGTTTATTGCATATATGTACATACATAAAAATATTTTCCCTGCACGATTTATTTCGTTTGTTGTTTCGTCTGTAACTACTAAACTACTGTAGTGTACTATCGCCAAAGTGAACTCAGCCGTTTTGTTACGTATTGTACCGAACAGTTAAAGTAATAAACGTAACGTACAATATAGTTTATTTTCGTACACTGCTCCTGATTTCATTCAACTAAACGGTTCCTAGAAGATTTACAATTTTTATAAAAATACACCAACTTACACTTGGAGTATGTGCATGCTGGCAGCACTGTTTACGTGGCAAACATCAAAATCTGATTGGAACTGGCTCTGACGTGGAAGTGATATTTTTTCGTAATTTCTTCGACGTGTTTGAAGAAATTCTAGCGTTTATACAGTGGAAAAATAGTTGAAAATTGCATAAAACGCGAGCAGAGACCCTTTACTTTAGAGTACTTGTGGTTTTAAAAATTTTTTTGCAATTAACATAGCTGTAATTGCAACAAATTTTCACACATCCCATACAACAAAGTGCTGTGCATTCTGTGAGAAAGTTCAGTTTTCTGCACCGACCGTCTCCACCTTCCGCGCATTCTTGTTTTGTATACTTGGCAAACAAAGGCAAAAACAATTAAGCTAGAAAAGAGTTAAAGAAATAGAAAAACATGAATCCGAACGTCTACGGGGCACCACCACAACAACCACAATATGCAATGGGCTGGCCGCCGGCTCCACAGCAGCCAACGCAACCAGGTATAGTACCACCTCAAATGAGAGCGCCGAGTGGTGGTGGCTACCCACCCAACAGCATGCCGCCAACATCGGCAGCATCCGTATTGGGAAGTGTGCCCGGAACACAGCTACCACAACAAAATTATGGACAAGGGCATCAACCAGGAGTACTAAATGGCAATTATCAACAACAGGTTTGCTTACAAAGATTAAAGTAGCATTTCATATTGTAAAAAATTGCTGGGCTAATTGATAAGAAAGTACAATCACGCACACTTTGAGGTCAACGCAATTATTAGTGATAACGAACCTGCTTTTAAAAATTTGTATATAACATTTCCGGTACATACATGTGTATTTCTTAAAATCTTTTTGTTCTTTTTTTCAGTTAACATCTTCAATGAGTTGCCTATCCATGAACCCTTTAAAGCAACAAACACCTGTTCCTCCTCAAAACAATACGCCATATGCAAACGCTAACTTACCCGGTGCGCCCATATCTGCGCCTCCCACTATTGCTAGCGCTCCAGATGCCCCACCATTGACAAATGGACCTCCAACTGGTGGGCAATCGCAACAGCCATTACCAAGCAATAATAACCCAGCACCAAATGCAGCGACTCCACGTATGCAATCTGTACCAGGTGGACCAAATCAAATGACTGTAAACAGCGCAAGCTTACCAGGATTGCCACACATACCGCCAGCTAAACCGAGTGTAAGGAAATTTATTTGCATAGCAAAATATATTCCCTAATATTAAATTACAGGCTGGCCCGCAATTACCTGGCCAACCACCAGTTTCTGCAGCGCCACCAATTTCAGCAGCTGGCGCTATGCCACAATATCAGCCACCGGGCGCACAACAAATGCCACCTAGGCCAGGTCAACTTTCACAACCTGGCATCCCTCAGCAACAACCACAACCGGCTGTATTACCAGGTCAACCAGGTTTGCCGCCTACATCGGCGGCAGCAACGCTGCCACCTCAACCGGGCATGCCACCGATGCCTGGCTATCCTTCACAACCACAACCGTTAGGTTATCCGCCACTACCACAGCAACAGCAGCAGCAGCCACAGCAAGCGGGTTATCACGCACAGCCGCCACAACCTGGCTATCCCCCGCAACCCGGACAACCTGATTACCCGCCACAACCACAGCAGCCGGGTTTCCCACCACAACAACCTGGCTATCCTCCCCAACCGCCTATGCAGGGTGCCTATGCTGGGCAAATGATGCCACCAACACAACCCGGACAGCCGCCAATGCCAGGACGTCCCGGTTTTAATGTACGCTTGCAAAATATTATTTCTTAAATGCATCCACTAAGTTAATCCATATTTCGTTGCAGCAACCACCAGCACCGGGTAGCATGTATCAACAGCCGCAACAGTATCCTCAGGCTCAGCGCCGTCTCGATCCCGATCAGATGCCAAATCCAATAAGCGTTATTATTGAAAACCAGCGTAATGCTGGTGGCGCTTTTGTCACCAATCAGCCAGGTCTTTTGCCGCCATTGGTCACTACCAAATATGTGGTGCAGGATCAGGGAAATTCCTCGCCACGTTATGTCAGGTATGGCGAAGCTAATGTCTATTTGAATGTTTATTTTAATTTTCATGTCATTATTATCTGCTACAGATCCTCTTTGTATTGCATCCCCGCTACGGCTGATTTATTGAAAACTACAGCTTTGCCATTTACCCTGCTCGTCTCACCAATGGCACGTACAGTGGAGGATGAATATGAGCCCCCAATTGTTAACTTCGGCGAATTGGGACCAATTAGATGCAATCGTTGCAAGGCATACATGTCACCAAATATGCAGTTTGTAGATGCTGGACGACGTTTCCAATGTCTTATGTGCAAAGTAACCACAGAAGGTAAAGTTTGAGTGTTATATTAATGGAATATGGAACTAGGAAATGTATTTATATTTCTTTGCTGTTATTAAAATTTTTCTTGGTTCTTGTCGACTTGTTTTATTGTATTATATATTAATCGTTAAGCATGTCGGGAATCAAATTTTATACGCATTTTAATTATATGTTTTTTATTTTCCAGTGCCAACTGAATATTTCCAACATTTGGATCACACCGGACAACGTGTAGACAAGTATGAACGTCCCGAATTAGTATTGGGTACCTATGAATTTTTGGCTACGAAGGACTATTGCCGCGTAAGCATTAACTTTTTTTTACATAAAAAATAAATATATCGTAAGCAATTTTTCATATTTCTGGTAGAATAACACACCCCCGGAAATACCTGCTTTCGTATTCGTGATTGATGTCTCTTACAACACCATCAAATCGGGTTTAGTGCATTTACTTTGTTCGCAGGTCAAGCAGATATTAAAACACCTACCCGTTGATCAGGGGCAGGAGAAATCTAAAATGCGTGTCGGTTTTATTACCTACAACAGTACAGTGCACTTTTATAATATAAAGAGTAGCTTGGCACAACCTCAAATGATGGTCGTTGGCGATGTACAGGCAAGTTTCCACATGTCATACAATAAATTTAAGGTAATTTTTAATCTAACCATACAGGACATGTTTATGCCACTACTTGACGGCTTCCTTTGTCATCCTGAAGAATCCGATGCTTTAATCGATGCTCTAATGGAGCAAATACCGAAAATGTTTGTCGATACAAAAGAGACCGAAACCGTGTTCTATCCAGCTGTACAAGCCGGTCTGGAAGCATTGAAAGCTTCCAATTGTGCTGGCAAATTGTTAGTCTTCAATTCGACACTTCCAATTGCTGAAGGACGCGGAAAGTTAAAGAATCGTGATGATCGTAAATTGCTTGGTACTGAAAAGGAGAAAACTGTGCTTACGCCACAGTGTAATTCTTACAATGCATTGGGGCAGGAATGTGTACAGAATGGAGTGTCGGTTGATTTATTCTTATTTAATAATTCATACATTGATATTGCAACGGTGGGTCAAGTATCACGACTCAGTGGCGGAGAGGTCTACAAGTACACCTACTTCCAAGTGAGTTAAAAGAAATTAAAATGCCCCCTTTTCTATATACTTGTATTTATTTGCAAAGGCTGACCTGGATGGCAATCGTTTGATTGAGGACATCATCAAGAACGTGTCACGCCCAATTGCTTTTGATGCTGTTATGCGCGTGCGCACTTCAGCCGGCATACGTCCAACTGATTTCTATGGTCACTTCTTTATGACAAACACAACCGATGTTGAATTGGCTAGCACAGGTAGGACGTGGGCGAAATTCTTAAAATTAATACATCTTTTAAAATATTCTTCTTTAAATCCGTAACAGACTGCAACAAGGCTGTTGCTATTGAGATTAAGCATGATGACAAATTGCCTCCCGAGGAGAACATTTACTTACAAATCGCTCTACTCTACACATCGGTTAGTGGTCAGCGTCGCTTGCGTATTTTGAATTTAGCACTTCGTGCCACTACTACAATTGCGGAGGTATTCAAATGCTGCGATTTGGATGCCATGATGTTGTTATTTGCTAAACAAGCTTGCTTCAAATTGCTCGAGCTCACACCGAAGCAAGTCAAGGATAATCTCATAAATCGTTCAGCGCAAATATTGGCATGCTATCGAAAACATTGCACTTCACCAACATCTGCTGGTCAACTTATACTGCCAGAGTGCCTGAAATTGTTGCCGCTCTATGTCTCTTGTTTGATGAAAAATGACGCCATCTCTGGTGGTTCCGACATGACGCTCGACGATCGTTCTTACGTCATGCAATTTGTGATGACCATGGATTTGAATATGTCTGTTAGCTACTTGTATCCACGTTTCATTCCAATTCACAATGTCGATATAGATGACAATGAATTGCCAATGTCGTTACGTTGTACACACGAAAAGATGAGCGAAGATGGCGCCTACATTCTCGAAAACGGTGTGCATCTCTTTGTTTGGCTGGGTCAATCGTGTCCACAAAGCTTCTTACAACCGATATTCGGTGTGCAGTGCACACAGCAAGTGAATGCAGAACGTTTTGCGATTATTGGTGAAACGCCATTGGCTCAGCGTGTGCGCAACATTATCGATACGATTATGAAGGAACGTACTAGGAACATGAGGGTGAGTGGAATGCAACCTACACCAACATTTTGTTTTGTTTTTGCATTTAAAAATTCTTCTATTTTCGCCTCTAATAGGTAACTTGCGTGCGACAAAACGACAAACTGGAATCGGTATTCCGACATTTCCTGATTGAAGATCGCGGCACAGACGGTTCACCCAGCTATGTCGACTTCTTATGTCACTTGCATAAGGAGATTAAAGATTTATTAAGTTAGCTTGTAGGTTTTGGAAAAAGTAGCAGCAACTGCAACTGTAATATGTCGTCGCAAAGTGGGAATAAAGAACAAACAACAACAACAAGGTACGCCACCACAGCGTCGCCGCTATTGTGCCGTAGCTATTCCTAGAATCGAGCACGTTTGCATAGGCTCTTGCGTAAAAGATGGTAGATGATGCATAATTACACGTACATACATACATACCTATATAAACATACATTCAAACAAATAAATAATTTGAACGCATACAATAGATGGTACCGTAATGTTATTACTTCTAGTATATATCCATACACAACAGCAAAAAAAAATAAATACTAACTGCAACTTAATGTAATTGTGTCAACTCGCTTAAATAATATGTTAATTTGGAATTCGCGCTAATCCATATATATCTTGCATTCTCCACCCCAGCGCTAGCTCTTGTGCTCTATTCGTTTATGTGTATTTTAGGTATATGTTGTGCAAATTTCTATTATTATTATTTTTATTAAATTGTAATGAAAGCAAAGGATAGTTATCATATTTGAGAAATATACACGAAAACATTATTCAAACAAAAGAGTTAGTTGTATTGTCTGAAAAACGAAAAATGGCAAAATTATAAAATATATTTGCCAATCTTATGCAAATCGATCTTATTTCTTTCGTAGTGGTACTCACCTAACTGGAAACGTAAGCAAAAATTTATCAATATTATATTGTATAGCACCTTGGAGGACTAATGCTAGTTGAAAATTATGTAGACTATAAAAAATTAAACGTAGTTCATTCTACATATTCAATACTTTTAGAATACCTTTAATTGCAGTGACTTTTGACCTTCTAGCACCCATATGCGAGGCATTTTAGCTAACGAAAATCATGTTAACTTTATTATGCAACTAAATATTAGATAATTATTGCATATGTATACATGTGTAGTTTTAATTCTTAATAGCTCACTTGTAAACCATTTAAGAAAATTCAAACATGTTGTAATATAAGTGTTGCGAAAATCAGTTTTTTTTTTATTCGAAAGTGTTTCTTTACAATAGGAATTATTTAAAGGACCTTATAAAGTTTTCTTCCCATTCTGCAATCCTTTACAAACTTCTAGTGGTCAAGGCTTAAAAGTTTATGTAAGTGAAAATGTGTGGCGGGTTTATGATTATTGCGTGAACAGAAACACACATAATTTAAATATTATATATATTTAAAAATATACATACATACAATTTATTCGCATTTAAAATAAAATTTGTTTATTATAAATATTCAATGGCTTTAAATTATGTTACAAGACGTACATAGTATTTGAGTAAATAAGAATTTTAACAGCCCTACTTTTTTCTAGCATAATACGCTGCATTCATATTAGAAATACGAGTACATATTTGGAATATCTTTAATGCATTGAAAACTGCTATGAATTTTTTTTTTCTAATTTACTTAAAGGATACGGTTTTTTTCTTGTAGTGGCACTATTAAGCCCTGCCTAAATCGGCTAGTCTATCAATCGTTATCGTCAAGAGTTGGTTGATGTCTGCTTGTTTTGGCTTTATTGAGGTCGAGTTTGGATGACTAGAAGTTAAGTCTTAAAATATCCAGACATTAATTGTGCCAGAATTACGCGCGTCTCTCTAGGTGAAGACCTTCCTTTGCGATAAGTGGTGATTGAATTACATGACTACGATATTCACGGCGTTAGAGTTGGTAAAGCTGGTAAGAGGTGGTTGTTGTTGTTGTTGTAGCAGCATAAAAGCTCCCCAAAGAGTTTTTGGGGAGTGTTGCTGGAGTGACAGTCCTTGGCCAAATATAAATCTGGGTCGTTCCGGTTATGTAGACCCGACTGTCGTGGGAACGTGGTAAGAGGTGGTCTCTCTCTCCGCTACGGCGGCCTTCGGCTGCGCTTAAAAAAAATAAGCCTCATCAGTCCAGCTCCGGCTACGCTAACCACAATATTTTTGCGCAGAACTCACTCCGAAATTCACAAAAAGTGCATATTTCAAACCGAATTTTTTAATAAATCAGTGACCGAAAATTACAAAATTATGTTTTAGACTAAAGTTTCGACCCTTGGCTACAAGTGCGTCAATCGGGTCACACATCTGGACACAATAGCCCGAAATCATTGGGCAAATAACTAAACCGTACCCCATTTTCTTTAATACAAATATTTCAAATAACCTCAAATTATAAAGTGGCGCGTTAAGACCAATCGGTCGTAAAGGGTTAAGAATTATTTTGGCGCAAAAATGTTGGCAATCATATGCCAAACAATCCAAAAATCATGTTTTTGTTTAAAAAAATTAGGTACTTGTTTGGTCATAATTAAATTTTGCCACAAAAATTGGTCAAGTACCCATAGTGCAATGGGGTGTAGTCGTTTTTCTGGCTATGCACGACTAAACTCTATCCCGACTCTTGAGTTACCGTACGCAAACCTTGGGAAATGTAAGCGGGAGATGCTGTAATAAAGCCGTTGCTGTAGTTGTTACTAACAGCATACAAATTCCACAGAGAGAGGGAGAGAGTGACAGTTTTGGCCAGCTATACTAGATCTGGTTACGTAGGCCCGAATGTCGTGAAAATTAACCCTTGTGGTGCCTTGGGTTACGTTGCCGCGGCCTAGAGATCTTTGGTGACCTCCACCTTGTTTACTCTTCACATCACTTTTTCTAAGCTTAACTCCCTCCGGAAGTCAAAAAGAGCTTTTTTGGTTAGAGTGTGAACTTTCGAATACTACGGGCACATTAAACCTAGGATTCACTCAACTTTTCTGCTGATAGCGCCACACTCAATGAGAATATGCGATGGGATCTACTTGGTCGGCCCACAATACAATACTGTAAAGTTGCCTGTTAGTATTTTAAGTACCACTTTTGGGAGGCTGTTTAGATATTAGAGGCTTTAATGCTACGTACTTTGGCAGGTGAAGTCCTAATGAGCTTTTTCTATTATGTTCACTGAAAGAAGGGGACTTCTTTCGAGAGCCTAGGGCTGATAGGAGTGTTAGCTGCTATTTTTCTTGTAAGACTGCCGATTGTCCGATATCTCTTTTCCGTCTATCGCCCTGTGGCCTGGTACCCATACCAGCTGAATCTCATTTTACCTACCAAAGGAATTAAGTTTCCCCAATACAGTCAAGGACTAAGGATGATTTTATTTCACTTTATAAGAGTTTTGAGTTTAACTTCAATTGCTACTTAAATTTTACTCGCCACGAAGACGAATTCCATAGACTTTCGCTGCAAATATGCTCGGGTATTTTCCCATAGGAGCAGACCACTTTGGTTCTGGTTGCGGCGATACCTGCCCTGTTCGTTCTAGAGCTTTTGAGCTGTATGTATAGCAGTGTACAGTGCAAGTTTGAAGGAGTCGAGCACCCCCAATTCTATATATTCCTAGAGAATATGACCGTTTCTTTCCCACATCCCTTCCTGTCCTATTTCAGCAGAGTTAATGAAGAGACTCAAGATCGAGAACTAATTCAAGAGTAGTTGCCGGACACATGCACATTTTTTCTGTCATTATAGCTTGGTGAGTAATTGCCTCAACGAGGCTAATGTAATTTGTGTGTGTATAGTCCATCTTATTATTTCAGGGCTACACCTCCTTTATGGTATGTTAGCATCCGCTTCTGCCATAAAGCTCAACCTCCCTGAGATCTAATTCCTCAAGCAATTCCTGCATCGTGCGCTTCACACATCTCCGACAACGGCAATTTTGACCTCGCCGCGGTACGAAACACGGTAGTTGGTAGAACCAGACGCCTGCATTGAAACATATACGAAGCCACTTGGTTGTCCCCTGATCAAAGAAGATAAGTTTCAAGCGTTTTTGACGTGCTTTTCATTCGAGGAGCTAACTTCGGCTCGGATCACTACATTGTTGTACAGTTTAGGTTCTCCTGCCTTAGGCATCGCCACAAAAAAGAGATCTCGCGCTGGCCTCTCACTTTTTGCTCAGATAGAAAAGGGCAGTGGAATTACGTACTCCAATCTCTTCGTATCACTGGGTTATGACCACCCACAATGAAACAGTTGTGGTGAAGAAGAATGCCGCAGCGCAACTGAGGAGAAATACGCAACATACAAAGATTCGGGAGAAAAAGAAGGAGATACGTCTTTTCAAGAAAAAGCTTCAAACATTTTCAAGACCGGTGCTAGTCCTTACAGAGGCAAAGATATCAATTTGCGATGAGTTGGCCAGAGTACACTTGAGATATAGAGAGAACAATTTTGACTCGACCAAGGAGCGGTGAGAATAGCAATAAGGTGACTTAAAATAAGTAAAGAACCTGTTACCCCCACCATTTTCTTACTGTGGTCCGATAAACAAATCCATAAGCCATAAGTCGAAGAGGTCTTATGCGATCGAGAGACAAGTAAGACGTAAAAACGTATTGGATTTGTTAGCATCCATCCAGATAGTACCACCTTCAAACCTTTCCATACAATAAGAATGGTTTCCTTATGGTTAAATAGAGCCGGTAAAGCTTTGTCGGTGAGAGGTTCCCCGTGCTTTCCAATGGCCCCCCTGCGCTAATATAAGGCTATCGACGCTCTCTTAATGCCTTGCTCTTGCTCAAGGGTTGGCTACCAGAAAAGCTTACTGTCCAGAAACAAACGCAGATTATTCACTCGTTCAGCGAGTGTCAGAGAAAACCCGGCTGTTAAGGTTGCAAAATTGGTGTTTGATATCACCTTCTCGACAATGGCCTTCAGCTGATAGTTGCCCCACTGAGCGAAGCGAGCGATAAGTAAACCTAACCTAAACCTATTTGATAGTTTACGATTGCCACAGCCAAGACATTGAAAACCCCCTTGATATAGTACATAGAAGAAGGCACCAACCGCATAGTCCTTCTACCAAGACTTCTCTGTGATTTCTGCAAATGTGTATTCTGCTTATCATTAAAGATCAATAAGCTCATCAAGCGTCTTTGAAAAAATGAGGAGTAAGTGATTGGTCTCCTTGTTTTTTGCCTTATATATGAAAGTAACTTTGACCAGCCTTCAAGGTTTTAGAATATAACCACTTCTTAAGCAACTCACGTATGCAGAAGGGGAAAAACCAGCGGCACGAAATATCCGTAGACTTCTGAAATTGGTCAGGTAGGACGTCATCACATCCCTTTTCAAGCTGCTGGATTGTCGGCACGCTGCAGTCAAGGCGGTGAGAATGGTTATGTTGTAAATGGGTGGTATATCATCGCCTCTTTTAGCACATAATACGGTCCCCTTCGAGTCGGTTAGTTTGATGCAACCTTCTCTAGCCATTTACTTGGTCCGAAGTATATTCCGCAGAATACCGGCAGATGCGAATACCTCGACAATTATGACATCCTGTAAGGCAGTGAGCTCATCCGAACTTAGCGACTCCTTGGCATGGTTTCTACTCATCATCAGCATTCTGATGCTCCCTTAACGCCACAAAAGTAGCTTGGCATCTGCGCGGCACCAAGTCGGCTCTAAGTGCCTAGCCTCGGCTCCCGATGTCGGAAGGGGTGCATGCGCCCGTTTCTCCCTTGGACCGAGAGTTTGGGGTGTCATATGTTCGCTCTTTTTCTTTCGAGCGATTGTGGTTTCGACAAGTCCTCTATCATTTCTTACTTGGTCGCTGTCTCTCTTTTGTGCAATAGCTACTGCTCTTCCACCGGTCTGCGAGTGTGGTTTCGCCTATGCGCCTATATTGTGTCTCCTTCTCCCCGCCTCTTAGTTTTGCACCAAGTGCGCATCTGTTTGAGGCACGGTAGCGCCCGCTACTTCGCTTTTCGACAAACGGCAGATAATACCCGCACTTTCGCTGCCAGATTTCCCATTCTTCCGTCCGTGTAAAAAATTCAAAAAGAAAATTAAAAAAAAAAATGTTCTCACCTTATTTTGGGCGGTTAGGGCTCGATATGTTTAGTTGTTTCACATTTTAGCTTAATATCCAACTCTCTGACTACGACATTTTCTCATGTAAAATTTCCTTAAGGCAGTACGGAGTTCTCAAGAAATTTGCTACGCTTTCT